GCCTGCCCCTTCTGGGGGTCACAGAGTGAGACAACTACCACTTGGATGGGGAAATGAACTTTTATAGCCCTTGCTGGGACCCACTTCAGACTGTGGGACCTTCTTCCCCTTCTGCTCTCCATTCCTGAGGGTCCAACCTGAGAGTACACTCAGGTATCACCTGTAGTCTCTGTCTCCAGCCTGGCAGCTCTGAGTAGGCACTGCTGTGTCAACCCTGCAGTGCCCACCATGGGAAAGTAATAGCATAGCTTGGAGGGAATACTGGTCTTAATGATGTCCAGAGAGCTGGGCACCGTAATCTCAGAACGTGCCAGTAATCTCAGCAACTTGGGAGGCTGAGGCAAGAAGATCACAAGTTTGAACCAGCCTGGGCACTTGGCTAGATCCTATCTCAAAAGAGTAAGGGGTCACTCACAAAGAATAAGGGGTCACTCACACGTGACATTGGGGCCCACCTGGCTATATGGCCCTTCACTTGGGCTTCCCTTTGCTCAGCACTTTCACATTGACAGGAGTTTGGACCTCTTAAGTTCCTCACTTAAATGTAGAAAAGGGCCCCTTAGAAATGGGAACCACCTGGGGTTGGGGTTGAAGCTCAGTGTTAAGGTGCTTACCCAGCATGTATGAGGCACTGGGTTCAATTCTCAGCACCGCATATAAATAATAAAATTAAGTCCATCAACATCTAAAAATACATATTTAAAAAAGAAAGAAAAGAAATGGGAACCACCTGATGTAGAAAAATACTAAGATGTGAGACCTGGACGTACTTCCTTCTTATCCAGGTCCAGACTATACCTGGTTTTATGCTAACCAGGAGCCTTACTCAACCCTGTCTCTGGGAAAATTAGGAGAGAGAGAGAAGGCTCTATAGGTAAGTACAGAAAAGCTGAATCTATAGCTAGTAGGACACCAGGACCCTTGCTCAGCTACAATATCTCTGTTTCCCCATCTTAACCCCACAGGCTCTGCCTTTAAAACTTCCATGGTCATACTATAAACAAAGAAATTGGGCTGGGGATATAGCTCAGTTGTTTAGAGTACTTCCTCACATGCACAAGGCCCTGGGTTCAATCCCCAGCAAAAAAAAAAAAAAAAAAAAACAACTCTGTGTTCCTCCATTAATCCTAAAAATTAGGAAGATGGTGTAACTACAAACTGATTCCCTGCTGGGAAGCAAAAACATTGGGCAGAAGTCTTGTTCGGTTATTAAAAGAGCAACGAATACATGTACAACTCATTATTGACGATCTTCTCTCTTAGAAGGCAGAGGCAGCTACAAGGGAAGCTTACACTCAGGCCTTCATTCTGACCAATAAGGAAGAACGCCCTGGGGATATGGAAGTAACAAAACTTTGGGGGAAAGTAATAGCATAGCTTGGAGGGAATACTGGTCTTAATGATGTCCAGAGGAGCTGGGCACAATGGCACATGCCAGTAATCCCAGCAATTTGGGAGGCTGAGGCAAGAAGATCACAAGTTTGAGACCAACCTGGGCACTTGGCTAGATCCTATCTCAAAAATTTTTATTTTTTTTTTTTGAGAGAGAGAGAGAGTGTTTTAATGTTTTATTTTTTGGCGGACACAACATCTTTGTTTGTATGTGGTGCTGAGGATTGAACCTGGGCCGCTCGCATGCCAGGCCAGCGCGCTACCGCTTGAGCCAAATCCCCAGCCCCTCAAAAATTTTTAAAAGGGCTGGAGTTGTAGCTCAGTGGGAGAGTGCTTTTCTAGGATGCATGAGGCCCTGTGTTCAAACCCCAGTACCACACACACACACACAAAAAAAAATGCTCCATGACCTAAGACCCTCATGCAGAGCACTGACATTGCTAGAAAACAACAAACAGGCTGTTAGAAGTAATTTCTCCTGGGGCTGGGGTTGTCATTCAGTGGTAGGGTGCTTGCCTAGCATGTGTGAGGCACTGGGTTCGATTCTCAGCACCGCATATAAATAAATAAAGGTCCATTGACAATAAAAAATATTTTTTTAAAAAAGTAATTTCACCTCTTAAAGATGAGGCCAAGCCCATCTGTAAGGAGTTGGGAATCAAAACTCAGGTTTGGCTCACATATTTTCATGTTCTTTCCTAAGTAGTAGAAGTGTTGATGGTTTGGTGCAGATACCCTTCAGAACTAACAGATTTTCTGTAGCTTCTTGTGAGATATATGAGGTTGACCAGCCAGAGAAAAAGGCTATCACCTTATAAATTCAGTTTAGTTGGAGTCTATTGGTGAATGAATGGAGCAAATTTGTGGTGCATCTATTCTGGGCCAGGCATCATGCTAGGATTGAGTGCAGAAACAGATGATCCTTAGGTTGAAAATTAGTGGAACAAATAAGTTTCTTAAGTTCAGATAGATGAGGCTATACCAACTGACAACTATCTACAGTTAAAAGTTGGAATATAACAAACTAACATTATTCCATTTAAGAATCTATTTTGCTGAGCGTGGTGGCACATGCCTGTAATCCCAGCAGCTAGGGAGGCTGAGCCAGGAGTATGTCGAGTTCAAAGCCAGCCTTAGCAAAAGCGAGAAACTATGCAACTCAGTGAGACCCTGTCTCTAAATAAAATACAAAAAAGGGCTGGGGATGTGGCTCAGTGGTTGAGTGCCCCTGAGTTCAATCCCCGGTACCCATTCCCCCAAAAAATATCTGTTTTACCATGTAAATGTTGTAGACAAATCCTAAATTTCAGTACCATACGGTATTCTCTTTAGAGGTCCACTATAAAGTGGAAAAACCTACTTTGTTTTATACAAAATTTAGGGGGAAAACTTCATCCCTGGAAGCAAGAGACTGGTTTCCATCTTGGTTCTGTCCCTTTCTAGCTATGTGTTTGGCCATGTTACTTCACATCTATGAGCCTTAACTTCATCAGTAAAGTAAAGGTAATACAAGCATCACTGATCTGAAATTGACAAAAATTTAAGATTTTGGAGCAGTTCAGATTTTGAGATTAGGGGATGCTATGAAACACTTCTGGTTTCAAGCATTTTTATATAAGGGATACCTAATCTGTGTATTTTCATGCTATATTGGGAGGGAAGAATAAGAGCTTACACTAATGTACTCTATATTTGCTGTCAAAATGAAGAGGAAGAAAAGTAATAGGAAATGAAGAGCCCGAATCAAGAAACATAATCAAGAACCTCTTTGTGCCAAGCCAGTAAATTGCATCCTTAAGAAGGTCAGAAATAGCTGGTGGCACACCTGTAATCCCAGTGACTTGGGAGGTTGAAACAGGAGGATCTCGAATTCAAAGACAGCCTCAGCAAAAGCAAAGTACTAAGCAACTCAATGAGACACTATCTCTTAACTAAAATAAAAAATAGGGCTTGGAGGTGACTCAGTGGTCTAGTGCCCTTGATTTCAATCCCCAGTACCACCCCCCACCCCCAAAAAAGGTCAGAGACATGTTGCAGAAGTTAGGGACAGCAAGAGGGCCCAGAAATGGTCCATTATTCCATTACAAGTCTAAGAGAGGACTGACTATTGTAGAAATGAAGATAATTTAAGGCACCTTCTAAAGAGAAGAAACTCTTAACAACCAGAGAGGTCCAGCCCTGAGTGGGACTTAGTGAATTCCTGTTGTGATCTTTCTGCTACTAGATGTGTTCAAGTGGAAGTTAAAAGTATACAAGAGGTCATTTCCTACATCAGAGATGAGATTGAACTATTTAGATTTGGGCTATTTTTTCAATTTTAATTAATTAATTAATTTATTTATTTATTTTTGTACCAGGGAGTGAATTCAGGGGCATTCGATCACTGAGCCACATCCCCAGCCCTTTATTTTTTTTTAATATTTATTTTTTAGTTTTAGGCGGACACAACATCTTTCTTTGTATGTGGTGCTGAGGATCAAACCCGGGCCGCACGCATGCCAGGCGAGCGCACTACTGCTTGAGCCACATCCCAGCCCGACACATCTTAATTTTATAGGATCAAATTTAGCGCCCCGCGCACGCCAGGCTAGCGCGCTACCGCTGGAGCTACATCCCCAGCCCCATCTCCAGCCCTTTTAAAAAACAAATTTTATTTTTTAGTTGTAGTTGGACACAATAGCTTTAATCTACTTATTTATGTGGTGCTGAGGATCGAACCCAGGGCCTCGAATGTGCTGGTGAGCGCTCTACTGCTGAACCACAACCCAGCGCCCCCAGCCCTTTTTTATATTTTATTTAGAGACAGGGTCTCACTGAGTTGCTTAGCGCCTCATTTTTGCTGAGGCTGGCTTTGAACTCGAAATCCTCCTGTCTCAGCCTCCTGAGCCGCTGGGATTACAGGCGTGCGCAACCGGACCGGTTCAATTCTAATATTATTGATCTGTGTGGTGGATGAAAGAGGCGTGGGTCTCCTAGGTAAAAACCTCCTATCTCTCTCCCAGCGCAGAGTTATCGAACAGGTCAGCGTGAAAACCTGGTCCGCTAAGGACCTGCCACGTAGATTTAAGTTTTGGGCTCAGTCTCCCTCCAAACGACAGAATGTCTCAGCCTCTCGAGCCACTGGGATTACAGGCGTGCCTTTAGAGGATTAGAGGAGGAGCCTTTGGGCCCTGTACAAAGTCTCCTAGTGACTCCAGAGAGGCCGCCAGATGGCGCCCTGGGTCTGACCACAAAGTCAACTTCCTTCCTCTTCCCCTAACTTCCCAGCAGTCCGCCCGGCTTGGGGCGCGGGACCGGAGGGTTGGGACCAGCCGGCTTCCCCTCGGGGTTCCCCAGCTTCGGAGGTAGCCACGCGTTAAGAGTAGCAAAAGCCCAGTACTAGCCGGGACTCTCAACTGTCCAGGGCAAGCCTGGGCGGGTGAAGAGAACCGAGCCCCGTAGCCCTCGGCTGGGAGAGGTGCTAGGTCACCGGTCCTGGCAGGGGCTAGCCCTCCGGCCAGAGCTTGCACCAGGTGGGCAGTCACCCCTACTCCCCGCCCAGCCCAAACCTTTCCGCTCTGAGAGGCGCGCCTGGGTCGCTCTTGGTTGGCTGCGCGAGTCCCGGAGTTAAAACTTTCAGCCAATGAAAAGGTGCCTGAGGCGTGACGCACGGAAACGTCACGGGAATTCCCCCCTCCGGGGGGCGGAAAAGGGGCTTTCCCCGTTGGTGTCCTGGTAACTGGAGTAGTGTCTCCACCCATCCGAGGCGGGTCGGACGCTAATAGTAGACGGAACCAGAGTCGTCGCCACGGTGAGTGGCCAGGTTAAGACCCTTGGGTAGCTAGGATAACGGGGTGGGGGGCCTGTGGGAGGAGGCAGGAGGGCAGGCCGTTAGGTGACCGAGTCCCAGATCTGGAGAGCAGCAGACGCATACATCCAGAAAGCGCCGACGCAAACAAAACGCACAGGTACACGTCGACATCCTTGTTCAAACATATGCAGACCGGTACGTACTCTTGCACTTGTGCAGGCACGAATACAGCAGTGACTTTACAGTCGAACTCGCGCACACATGCACAAGCACACATGCTCACCTGTGCACCAATGCCTGAACACACACCCTTCATTCACAACCTCCTAAACATGTCATCCGTATCTTACACATCTAGCCATGCACTGACATTTACCTACACTGAGAAGCTCAGGAACTCACCTGTTTAGATATTCTCACTTGTACATGCATGTTGACACCCTGCACATAACATGAATCTGAGTACTTGGGCCGAAACACACTTGTATGCCTGTGATGGAGACACATACATGTAGTCCATATGGCTGTGCTGGGGTCGGAGGTGTGCAGGGATCGGCCTGGGCACCAGGAACAGGTGCAGCTTGGGAATCTAGGCAGCTGAGACATTCGCGGAGAGGGAGAGAAACCTATCCCAAGGAGACACCTTTCCCCTACCCTGCAGCCCAGAGTCACGTTCTCGGGGCAGCACCCTAGGGCCCCCAACTGGGAAGAACCCCCGCCTACAGGTCATTCGAAGAGGAGGCCTTCCGACAGCAGGAATGTCCCCCCAAAAGCCCCTGGGGTGAATCAGCCGTGGCCTCCCTCCTGGCAGAAAATCCCAAGGTTACTCCAAGCCAGAGGAGCGCGGGACGGGGTGGGGCGGACCTGGACTCAGACTGAGCCTCTAGGGCCGCGAAAGACCTTCTGTCCGCGGCGCCTGCCCTGGAGGGAGGAGGAGACCTAACCCCCATCAGGGCTTGCCCGGTTCTCCGTGCCCTTTGCGGGTGGACAGGCAGTCGGTGCCCACAGCCTGTGAGAGCCTCCAGCCCCTCCCGCCCCGGGGGCGGGACCATTGGCGTCATTTCCAGGCCCGCCCCCTCCGGCCCCGCCTCCTCTGGTATTTTCGGGACTTTCCTAAACTGCTCTAACTTTCTGCCCCTTCCCTGGCCCAGCCCAGCTCCGGATCTCGCTCTCCACCGGATCTTACCCGCCACACCCGGACAGGCGACCAGAGGAGATCGGACCCTCCCCCAAATCTGGGCACCCCTTTTCCTCCCACCCCTATCCTGATTTATTCCCTACCCGCCACCCCCTCCCCCCCCCACCCCCGTCACCCTCCCTCCACACACACCTTAGGCGGGAGCCTAAAACTCTGAGAAGCAGAACCAGGGGCCGAAGCCACCAGACAGAGCCGGGCCTAGCCCAGAGACATGGACAGTTGCTACGACCCAGTGAGTCACGCTGCCTGGCCCTGAAGGCAGCCGGTGCCCCCCGTGTCTGTCTTTCTGCGGGAGCCGCTCAGTTCCCTTACGTTTGTATGTCCTCAGATTATCCCAGCTCGCTTGTCAGTCTGATCACCTGTCCGCAAGCTGCTTAGGTTTGAAGCTGGGAGGTGGGAGGGTTCTGGGATGGCGCAAAATCAGCCACTTCCAATCTGTCTCCAAACCAGGGTCTGGATGGTATTGCTGAATATGATGATTTCAAATTCAGTCCCTCCGTTGTGGAACCCAAGGAGCCAGTCCCCGAGACAGGTTAGTAAGTCAGCTAACCTCCTCTTGTGTTAGAGGGAGGAGAAGGAAGAGCATGTGTCCTCTGCCTGGATAACATGCTAGAAGATCCTAGTTTAACAAGGTCCCTCTGTCCCCAGCTAATGGCCCCTACCTGGTGATTGTGGAACAGCCTAAGCAAGTGAGTGAGCAAAAAGGATGGTGTGGGATGGCTTCAACTTGGGGACAAGTGGGGTAGATATAGGTGGGTGGTCATGGGGCCCAGGGATCAGTGTCCAAGGAAGCCATTGTGGTTTGGATGGTGGTTGCTGTTGATCACAGTGGGGGTGCTTCTGGTTCAGGGTAGACATAACTGATTATTATGGTCACTGCTGGCCAGAGGTGTGGCTACCTAGGATGGTCTCTCCTGATTACAATGTCACTCTGGACTTTCAGCGTGGCTTCCGATTTCGATATGGCTGTGAAGGTCCTTCTCATGGAGGCCTGCCTGGTGCCTCAAGTGAGAAGGGACGGAAAACCTATCCCACTGTCAAGGTAAGCTAGGATGATGCTGGAGGGTAGGCTAAGAGACAGCATGTTGGGGCATTACTGACAGCTGTCTTCCCCACTCAGATCTGTAACTACGAGGGCCCTGCCAAGATTGAGGTGGACCTGGTAACACACAGTGACCCACCTCGTGCTCATGCCCACAGCCTGGTGGGCAAGCAGTGCTCAGAGCTGGGAGTCTGTGCTGTCTCTGTGGGGCCCAAGGACATGACTGCCCAGTAAGTGTCCCCTAGCCCTGGTCCCCACTAGGATGGCCCTTTGTTGCCTGCCAAACCTAGGCCCCAGCCCAGTTCTGTGTGCTTAGCATCTGACAAAGGGGGAGGCTTAGGTTGGCCCCAGAACCAGAGGGCCCAAGTATTAACAAGAATAACTTCCTTGAGGAAGTAGGGCTATGTTAAGCTTGGCAGTGGGAAGGCTGCCTGAGAAGGAAAGAAATGCATGGGCAAAGGCCTCTGACTCCTCCTCCTCCTCTCCAGATTCAATAACCTGGGTGTCCTGCATGTGACCAAGAAGAATATGATGGAGATTATGATACAAAAACTTCAGAGGCAGAGGCTCCGCTCCAGGCCCCACGGTCTTACAGGTATGGAGGCAGGGAAAATCATGGAAACTACTCAAAGAAGGAGCAGGGAAGAGGAGGAACCTAGTGGTTACACATATGCTCACTACCCAGAGGCTGAGCGGCGGGAGCTGGAGCAGGAGGCCAAAGAGCTGAAGAAAGTGATGGATCTGAGTATTGTGCGTCTACGCTTCTCTGCCTTCCTTCGAGCCAGTGATGGCTCTTTTTCCCTTCCCCTGAAGCCAGTTATCTCCCAGCCCATCCATGACAGTAGTAAGTATCCTAATTGGTGCCAGGCCTGGGTGCCAGAGGGAGCATGAGAGACATTGTCAAGCTATGGAGTCAAACAGGCCTTGGTTTGAACCTGGTCCTGCCCCGTATGAGCTAAATGGTCTTGAGCAACTCATTTCTCCTTCTGAGTGTTGCTTCCATCTTTGGTAAATGAGAGGACATTAGTAATTCCTGCACCTCCTGGGTTGTCAAGATAATAACCCTAAAGCCCCTGGCTCCATCAGTGTGGCATTATATCACCTAATCTATTTCCCACCTCATAGAGTCTCCAGGGGCCTCAAACCTGAAGATTTCTCGAATGGACAAGACAGCAGGCTCAGTACGGGGTGGAGATGAAGTTTATCTTCTTTGTGACAAGGTGCAGAAAGGTGAGGCTGGAGCCCAAACTGGGAATTAGGGACACTGAGTTCTAGCCTGAGGATCAGAGCAGGTCCAGGATAAATGGCTGTGAAGGTTCTCCCAGAAACTATGGTCAAGCTTCACTTTTCCTGTAGATGACATTGAGGTTCGGTTCTATGAGGATGATGAGAATGGATGGCAGGCCTTTGGGGACTTCTCTCCCACAGATGTTCATAAACAGGTACTCAGGGATCAAGGCCTGGTCTAGGGGATGAACTAGGCAAAGGCCTGACTGACACCCTGTGTTGTCCCCCACTCTCTCAGTATGCCATTGTGTTCCGGACACCTCCCTATCACAAGATGAAGATTGAGCGGCCTGTAACGGTGTTCCTACAACTGAAACGCAAGCGTGGAGGGGATGTATCTGACTCCAAACAGTTCACCTATTATCCTCTGGTAGAAGGTGGAACTGGGCTTGAGGATCCTATGGGACTGGGCTGGGCTGGAGGGTTCCCAAGAGGTGATTTCTAGGAGCCAGTCTGAGTACTTTTGAAAGAAGAGACCCTAAGGCATGACCCTTGAACTAGAGTTTTAACATTTGTTTGCCTTTGCCCCCAGACAAGGAGGAGGTGCAGCGGAAGCGGAGGAAGGCATTGCCTACCTTCTCCCAGCCCTTTGGAGGTGGCTCGCACATGGGTGGAGGCTCTGGGGGCTCTGCTGGGGGTTATGGAGGAGCTGGAGGAGGAGGTGAGGGGTGCTGAAGGCTGAAGATGTGTGGAGGGGACAGGGATGGGGGGAAAGAAATGGTGGGGAAGAAATTGGGGAGAGTCCTGGCTGGTGCCCGCCCCCCACAGCCCTGCCTGTACCCACAGGTGGCAGCCTCGGCTTTTTCCCCTCCTCCTTGGCCTACAGCCCCTACCAGTCCGGCGCGGCCCCAATGGGCTGCTACCCGGGCGGCGGGGGCGGGGCGCAGATGGCCTCCTCCGCGCCGGGTGTGGATGCTACGGAGGAAGCGGCAGAGCCAAGCGCGCCCCCTGGAAACCCAGAGGGCGAACCACAGGCTCCGGACGTCCTGCTGCGAGGTATGGCCTCCAAAATGTGAACGGTCGGGACGCCGGGGCTGGAGACCAATCATGCATCCTTCCATGCCCCCTGTCACCCCCCAGCTCGGGAGTACAACGCGCGCCTGTTTGGCCTGACGCAGCGCAGCGCCCGAGCCTTGCTCGACTACGGCGTCACGGCGGACGCGCGCGCGCTGCTGGCGGGACAGCGCCACCTGCTGACGGCTCAGGACGAGAACGGAGACACGTAGGCGGCTAGAGGGCGGGCGGAGGCCGGGCTTCCTAGGGTCTGGGATTTACCACCCCTGATGCAAGGTCGTGGTGTGGGAGCAAGAAAGGGATCTGCAAAGAGCTGGCCCCTGGAGTTGAAAAGACCAGAATTCAGGTTCTGCGAATTTCACTGCAAATCTCACTATTTGCTAGTTCTGCTCAAGGTACTTACCCTTTCCAAACTTCAGTTTTGTCAACTGAGGAAGGGACATAATAATAGCCATTATTTACCTTAAAAAGTGCAGAGAAGGATTAAGTTCAGGTACGGCGATGTCCTTGGAGATATTTTGGGTTCAACAAGCCCCAGCCAGAGAGACTAGGAAAGAAGTGGTGGGGTTTTGAGGGCAGATAATCCTGAGTGGCTGGGCTTGCTAAGCCAGAGTTACTCCTCAACCCCCAGGCCGCTGCACCTGGCAATCATCCACGGGCAGACCAGTGTCATTGAGCAGATAGCCCATGTCATCTACCATGCCCAGCACCTCGGTGTTGTCAACCTCACCAACCACCTGCACCAGGTGAGGGGGCACCTACTGGTGAGGGAGTAGCAGTTGGAAGGCAGATGGGTCTAAGCTGGCTTGGTCCTGACTCACCCTGACTTTTCCTCAGACACCCCTGCACCTGGCAGTGATAACTGGACAGACAAGGGTGGTGAGCTTTCTGCTACAGGTGGGTGCAGACCCTGCACTGCTGGATCGGCATGGAGACTCAGCCATGCACCTGGCACTGCGGGCAGGTGCTGGAGCCCCAAACCTGCTGCAAGCACTGCTGCACAGTGGAGCTCCCACTGTGCCCCAGCTGTTACATATGCCTGATTTTGAGGGTAAGTTCCCCACCGACTCCAAACTTGGAGGGTAGAGGTGAAGGAAGACCAATGAGGGTGTCTTGCAAGTGGACATTAGATGCTGAGACTGGCTCATCAGGGCTAATCTTAGGGCCACTTTGGGATCACAGCTATAGACTGATATCCTGCATTCCCAGGATTGTACCCAGTACACCTGGCAGTTCATGCCCGAAGCCCTGAGTGCCTGGATCTGCTGGTGGACAATGGAGCTGAAGTGGAGGCTGCAGAGCGACAGGGAGGCCGAACAGCACTGCATCTAGCCACCGAGATGGAGGAGCTGGGGTTGGTTACACATCTGGTCACCAAGGTGGGAATGAGGATTGTGGAAGGGGTAGAGCCAAGATTGCAGGGAGATTGAGAATGATGATGAGGTGTGTGGGAAGGGTCAGTCAACTGAACCATGCTGGGGTCCACTTTCTTGCACCCCACAGCTCCATGCCAATGTGAACGCCCGCACCTTTGCCGGAAACACACCCCTACACCTGGCAGCTGGATTGGGATCCCCAACCCTTACCCGTCTCCTTCTAAAGGCTGGTCAGTCTCACCCATAGAGGCATATGAACAGGGCAAGGGGAGGAAAAGGGTGCTCCTAGTACCCCCAATTTGTATTTATTAAGGTAGGCCCCCATTGTCCTACTGGATGACTGCCTTCCTTCCCCAGGTGCTGACATTCACGCAGAAAACGAGGAGCCTCTGTGCCCACTGCCCTCACCTCCCACCTCTGGAAGCGACTCAGATTCCGAGGGACCTGAGAGGGACATCCAGAGCAGCTTCCGAGGCCACACACCTCTTGACCTCACCCGCAGCACCAAGGTGAGGCTATCCTGGCACTGGAAGTAACTAACAAAGCACCAGGTACCTCCTAGGCTTGGGAATGGGGCCCAGAGTGTGCACTTCCAGGTAGCTAGGCTTAAAGAGTAGGATGGGAAGTAGTCAAAGCTATCTCCCCAGGTGAAGACCTTGCTGCTTAATGCTGCTCAGAACATCATGGAGCCCCCCCTGACCCCACCCAGCCCTGCAGGTAAGGTCTCACAGATATTCCCAGGCCCCAGGAGCATCTTAACAGAGGTCTTCTCCTTCAAAACCTCTGAAGGAGGGTTCTTCCCTTCCATCTTCTGTCCCAGTGGCCTTGACTGTCAGGTTTCCAGGGGAAAGGTGGTGTCCAGGTATCTGTCTCTGCCCATATCTGGAGGCAACTGACATGTTTATATCTGTGCCCCATCAGGACCAGGGCTGTCACTTGGGGAGACAGCCTTACAGAATCTGGAGCAGCTGCTAGATGGGCCAGAAGCCCAGGGTAGCTGGGCAGAGCTGGCAGAGCGGCTAGGACTGCGCAGTCTAGTGGACACATACCGGAAGACAGCTTCACCCAGTGGCAGCCTCCTGCGCAGTTATAAGGTGGGACAATCTATACTCTATCCCAGCCCCCATATGCTTTCCCCACCTCAGAGCCCAGATGATTCCTTGGCCCCTGAGCTCCCCACCCTAATGCCCTAAGCATGATTCAAACCTCCTGTCTCTTCCTTCTCCTCAGCTGGCTGGTGGTGACTTGTCAGGTCTGCTGGATGCCCTGTCTGACATGGGTCTAGATGAAGGAGTGCGACTGCTAAGAGGTCCTGAGACCCGAGAAAAGCTGCCTAGCACAGGTAAAGGGGGCCAACCTGGAAGACGGAGCTGGGTCTGGAGGGTGGGAGGCCTGAGCCTTTGACTTGCCCCCATTCCTTTCCCTGTGTCCCTCCAGCAGAAGTGAAGGAAGACAGTGCATATGGGAGCCAGTCAGTGGAACAGGAGGCAGAGAAGCTGGGCCCACCCCCTGAGCCACCAGGAGGGCTCTGCCATGGGCACCCCCAGCCTCAGGTGCACTGAACTGCCACCTGCCCTTCAGCCTTCTTCCTGAACTTCTCTGTACAGCATCCCTATCTAGTCCAAATCTTATTTAACACCCCATGCCCACAACTCAGTTGGAGCAAATAAAAGATTCTCTGGGAGGACCCCCTTCCCATCTTATGGCAGCCCCCAGTGTGACTCTAGTCCCTAGAACCAGCTTCCTACCCTGGCCCCAAGCCAACAAGAAGACAAGACCCAGCCAGCAATTCAGAGCAGTTTTAATGGGGCAGAGGCTGTACAAAGGGCAGGGCCCATTGAGGGAGGGAAAGCAGGCGGTGCCACCCTGGTCTGTGGATAGGGCCTCAATGTGGATGCCCTTCCTTCACCTCTGGAAAGAGAGAGGTAAGCCCTCATGGAAAAGGAGGGAAAACCAGCTCAGCTTCAACTCTGGGCCTCTGTCTGAGCCAGGCCCCAGGATGGAGAGTGTGACTGCTGGTGTCAGGGTGGGGATAGTCTTGGCAGAAAGCGGAAATGTTGTCAGGCCTCTCCCACAAAAAAAAAAGGACCCCATCAAAAGTTCCGGGACACTGGCCCCTCCCACCCCCACCCACCCTGTACGAAAAAGTGCAAAACATTATCACAAAAGGGGTCTTAGAGGCGCCCTTAGCCTAGGCTCCTGAGGCCCATGCCCAACCCTGCCCTGCCCCGGACACCGCGTCCGGCGCGGTCGGGCCCTGGGCCAGGAGGCCCTCATGGGTGGCCCGAGGCCGGCCCGGGCTTAGGCAGGGCCATGTCATCATGCAGGTGCCCAGCAGGCACCATCCCCCACACTCCCACTCCCTGTTCAGGGCTTCCGCCTTGCGCTGCCTGCCCCTGACCGAGGCTCTGAGCCAGGACGCTGAGTGCGGGCCTGGCTGGTGGGGTTGGGCTGCAGGGAGGGACTGGAGTGAGGCAGAGGGAGTCCGTCCTCCATGCTCTCGGCCTGGGCCAGCGCTGCCTCTATGGCATCCAGCTCTTCACTGGCTGCCTTCAGCTTGACCCGAAGCAGTGCTGCGTAGGTGCCGTAGCGGGATTTCTGAGGCAGGGGGCCAGGAGCCATGAGCACCTGTTCTCCTCTCCCAGCCCTTCCCACACCCATGACCAGCTAGGAGATGGAATGTCCCACCCACCTCTATATCCCAAAAGACCCCAGCTGGCAGGTTGATGACTTTCTCTGGGCTCTCAGAACTATCTGTGGGTTACAGCTAACATTTCTTGAGGTTTTTTGGTTTGGGTTTTTTGGGGTTTTTTTTTTTTTTTTTTTGGTACCAGGGATTGAACTGAGGGGCATTCAACCACTGAGCCACACCCCAAGCCCTATTTTTTGTTTTTTATTTAGAAACAGGGTCTTAGTAGCTTAGCCCTTCGCTTTTGCTCAGACTGGCTTTGAGTTCACAATCCTCCTGTCTCAGCCTCCCCAGCAAATGGCTGGGATTACAAGCATACGCTACCATGCTCAGCCATTTCTTGAGTTTTTACTAGAGTCAGGAAACAGACGTGTTACCTCCTGACCCTAGGGAGTGTGGAGTGTTACCCTTATTCCCAAGAGAAAACTTACACTCAGAGAGATTAAGCCCAAGGTCACCCTGCTGATACAACTCTTAAAAGCCCCCACCCTTGAGCTGGGGTTGTGGCTCAGTGGTAGAGCACTTGCCTAGCATGTGTGAGGCTCTGGGTTCAATTCTCAGCACCACATAAAAATAAATAAATGTAAAATCCCCCACCCTTAACCCTAGCCTGAGCCTGTTTGGGAAGCACAGTACCAAGCAGGGAGACTCACCTCAAACTCCAGGTAGGCCTCCTTCTGCCGCTGCTCCTCAGCCTCCTTTCCTCGGGCCTTCTTTCCCAGCTGGGTGGCCCGATGCTCACGCAACTCGCTTGCCATGACCTTCAGTTTGGCCTCGTGGGTCCGCATCTGCTCCTCCTAACAGCCAGGAGAGAACAGTCAGGGTCACTATTATCTAGATATACAGTGCCTTTGGGCAAATTTTAACAAGGTGTCCCTTTGGACAAGCAAAGCACACTATGGCTGGGTTTCCAGCTTAGCAAGTAGTGTAGGGGCTGGACTTGAGCCTCTGCTTGTCTCCCATGACTGTCATAGGGATGCAACACACAGCAGCCTGGAGTGCACCCAGCCTGGGCCTGCCCCACTCCATCCCACTGGCAGCAGGTGGGCCAAGTGAACTGGGGCTACCTGGGAGAGGCGGGTGGCAGCGCTGGGCAGCAGAGGGCGGCTGAACCTCTTATGGGAACTAACAGCAGCTGGGAAGGGGGGTGCAGAGAACATGGCAGCGACTACATTGATGCGAGTGATCCAGGACTGCATCTGCTCCAGGCTCCTGGGGAGACAGCACAGTCCCTTGGGATCTGGGCCAAGGGATGCCTGTCCTGGCTCAGGATGTGGCCTGAGAAGAAATGAGGCAATCCAGGGTCAAGGAAAGGGTCTGGGGTGGACAGGAAAAGGACACTCACGGAGCCTGGAAGAGGAAGACCCGCCAGTCAGCAGTGCGCAGGTAGAAGACATGGGGCCTCTTGCTGTAGTCACTGGCACGGGTGGCCAAAGCATGGTGGATGCTGATGGCATTCTTGAGCTCCGCCTCTGAGAGTGCCTTCCCAGGTTGATACTCCTCCTGCAGGGGTGACCATCTTGTCCTGGCCTCAGTCTGGCCTGGCCTAGCCCAGGCCACCCACTCTCCCTCCCAAGTCAGCACAGCCCCCACCATGGGCCTGGCCCCGCACCTTCTGCAGGTAGAGAATCATGCCCTTGAGGATCCCGTGGAAGCTCTTCCAACCCCGCTTGCCCCGAGGTGCTGGGGGGGAAGGAAGGCAAGTCAGGGGGGCCTGGGACAGGCTCACCCCCACCCATCCCCCAGACCCCCCTCCTGGCCACGTACTCTTCCTGCAGTCAGGGTCTGCGTGCACCTTTCGCACCAGGGCCCCGTGCTTGTAGACGGCAGCCCCAGGCTCAGGAGTCAGGTCCAGGAAAGGGCTGGAGCCGCTGCCACTGCCCCCGCTGACCCTCTTGATGACCTTGGGGTTGGGGTCGGCCAACTCAGACAGAGAGCGCCTCAGTTCCTCCTCGTCTCTGCAGGTGTGATGGCCTCAGAGGGGAGCTGGTCATGGAGCCATACCCCCCTTCAGCCCTGGCTTCCGCCCACCCTGGAAAGCTCCTCCAGCGTTTGTGGAGCTGCAGGGGGTCTCTTCAACCTGAGGCTCCTGCCACAGGTTTCCCCCCTCAGAATAGGGCTCCTCAAGGCAGCATGTCTCCTTCCTAAAACTAGACATCCCCAGAGTAGAACCACAGCTGTCCTTTCCTCCCCTCACATGTAACCATCCCCATCCTCTCTATTTCTAGATACACACCCAACCCTCACACCCTCCTCTACCAGGACAGACACATGTCTGACTCAACTCAACCATACCTAACCTAAACTATGAGGCTTTGCTTATATGTTGGCTAAATGGTGGAAGGGATAGCTTCCTAGTGCCCTCCAAAAAAAAATCTTGGTCTGCAGTTTCTGTCAGATAAAAAAAAAAGAGAGAGAGAGAGAGATTCTATCTTTTCACTCCCTTGCTCCAGAATCTGCAGTAGCTCCCCATTGTCTCCTACATGAAACTTATACTACATCTCCCCAATACTCTTTCTCTTCATTCCAGTCAGGCCTGCCTCCTTGTGGTCTCCCCATTTCACACTCATTTCAGCCACACCTTTGCCTCCCAAATACTTCCCCTCAGGGAAGCCTCAGTTCCAATCCTCCAAAAAGCATTCCCTGATTTCTCTTTGTACCCTAATTCTGAGCTCTGCCTCTCTGAGGTCTCTCCTAAAGACTGGGAGCTCCTAGCCAAACTGGGTAGTGACTGAACTCTCAGTAGATAGCAACAAATACAAATGATAGATTGTTACTTGAGGGCTCTACTCTCAGACTGGAGGCCCCAAGGCCCAAACTGGACCTTCTCCCTCATACTGGACCTTCCATGACTTTCTTTGGGCTTGCCTGTGTTTCTACTTGGGGATACCAAGAAGATACAACATAGCCCCTTGTTCTGGGATACTTGGGCTCCCTAAGACCCATGGGGGTCCTTTTGTGCTACTGATCAAGACTACCCTTCCAGAGGCCTCTGCTTTCCTACGAGGCTACCAGGAGACCTTCCTTTTACGTCTCAGCACACCTCTTCCCGTCCAACCCAGCTTGTCATAACAACCCAGCTGGAGACAAAACAGACCCCAAGTCTAAGCAGGGCATCTCCAAAGAAGGAAGCAAGGCAGCCACACTGCCTCTTACCCACCTCCTTGTACCCACAGCCCCAGGACTCCGTAACCCAGGCAGCTCTTCCCCACCCCTAACCCCTAACCCCACACAGCCCTGGGACTCACATGGCCCACTGCAACTTTTCATTCTTGATGGAGCTGTACAAGGCCTGGGGAAGAACAAATCAGGGAGTATGGGTCAGTCCTGGGGGAAAGCATACTAGGTACCCCAATGTCAGAGCTCAAAGCCCTCCCTCCCAACTTGGGAGAAGAGCCAGATCTAAGGGTAAAGGGGCAGCAATGTATAATGACCATGAGCATAGGCTCTGGAATATAGTACCAATACCCAGGCCCAGTTCTGCCACTTTAGCTCTATGACTTTGGGCAGGTATCCAAGGGGAGGAACAAACATCAACATGTGGGGGCAAGCAGTGCAGGGAATCCTGGCACATGGCTGATGCACAATAAATGGTAGCTGCTATTATTATCTTTATTATTATTAAGGGACACTCCTGCTCAGATCCTGATGGGAGAAATATAGCCCTAAGGAAATGGGGAAGAGCAGCCCAATAAACCCTCCTTCCCCCAGCCATGTGTTCTGGCCTCTTCCCACAGAATAAGCCCACACACAGCATATGGGGAAACTGAGGTCCCACAATAGGGGCTCACTCTCCCAGCTCCTTACTTGGCTAAAACATACACTCATGGCTCCAAACCCCAAGACAAGCTGAGACCTTCCCCCAACCCAGACAGCACCATCAAGCCAAATGCCAGTGGTCCATCCCCTAGCCACCTGCACACTTTATGTTACTGAGAAGTGATGACTAGTCTGAAGCTTTACCTTCCAAAGCCTATCCACCCCAAATTGTAAGCCTCTAAACCAGTGTCTTCCTCTGTCTCTTCTTCTTCTCTCCTCCCTACAGTTGGCCTGGAGATACATGGGGACTCTGAGGTGGTCAGAAGAGAAAATGGCCTCCAGGAGTGGCATAGAGGGCCCCTCTTTGGGGGAGTGGCCTGAAATATGGGTCCATGCCATCTCCTCCAACTGTGGGGGTGCTTCCGACAGCCTGTGTGAGTGGGTGTGTCCCCAGCAAGTGTGTGTTTTGCTATGTGTGGCATGTGATGCTGCCTGCGTGTGAGCTGGGTGCAGTGGTGACGTCGGCGCCTTCCCCATGATGGGACACAGGTCCCTCCAAACCCCCCCCCCCACACACACACACCACAGTCTCTGACTCTCTCATTGCCCATAGCCGTACCTGGTTACAAGGCTACCCAAGCATCCCACACCGGCACATCCTGCCCCAGGGTGGAGGCACCCACAGCACGTGCCAAGCTAATCAATGCATAGCCCTCCTAAGACACACCTGACCCAAACCCTGCCATGCCTCAGAATCTGAACCCTGACTCCCCAACTCTCTGACCAGAAGGTTGAAGCAGCCACCAAGATCCAACCTGCAACCCTGTCTCCAGTCTTCCAGTTCATCCCTGCCAACTCTCAAGACCCCCCTTTTGCTTGGAGCGCCACACCTTCCTTCCAAGGTCCTGAACCCCATCAGTGAGTCCATGTCACGCTCCCATCTAGAAAACCCTTTTCGTCTCCAAAAGACTCGGGTTTGTGAGGACCACCTTGCCATCCCCCTCCGCGAGTTCATGCCCACCTCCGGCTGCCCACGAGCTCTGTCCCTATTGGGCTCCCCCCCTTCCCACAGCTCCATCCGTGCCCTCCTCAGCTCAGCCGCCCTCGGAGCCTCCCTCAAGCCGCCTCATCTGTCGCCCCCGACCCTGGCGTGGGCCGCAGCCCCCACGCCCTCACCGCCTTTTTCTTCTTGCGGTTCTGCAGGCGGCTGACCACCAGGTCGGTGTAGAGCACGGGCTTGAGACTGCGTGAGCGCTGCGGCCAGCCGTAGCACAGGGTCTCCGCGCCGCGGTGGGTGCGCCCGTAACGCACTGAGCACAGCGAGCGCGAGCGCAGCCGCCCGGCGCTGCTGTGGATGCTGTTGACGCCGATCATGCTGGCCCGGCCCGCGCGCCGCGGCCCCCGGCCATGCCCCCGCCCGCCCTCGGCCCCGGACCGCCCGGCCGGCCCGCGGACGGCTCCCCGACAGCCGGCGCGAGCGCGCGGCCAGAGCCCGGCCGGCTCCCACCGACGCACCGAGCGCGGCGGCGGCGGCGGCGGCGGCGGCGGCGCTGTCTGCTCCGCAGCTCCACAAGAAGGAGGGGGCGCAGACGGGGAGGGGAGTGGAGCTGAGGGAAAGAAGGCTGGGGGCGGGGACGGTGCAAAATGGAGGCGCTGGAGCGCCAGGGGGCCCCCGCGCCGCCGCGGGGATAGCCGGGGGAGGCCCGCGGGGGCGCAGGCGTGGGGGCTGCCAGGGGACGCTGGCCCCCGGCGCTCCGCGCGCCCAGCACCGAGCTGTGGGGGCGGGCTGCGGATAGGGTCTGGAACTCCGTCCCGGCACCTCAGGGCTGGAGGTGGTGGTGAGGGGAGAGGTCGCAAGGCCTCCCCACGGCCCTTTTTCACTTAGACTGGAGGGGTAGCCATGGACAGTCCCGGCCTCTCAAGCTCATCCTCAGATACCCCAAACGCCCATGTGTGCATCTCAACTCACTCACCCCAGTTCAAACATACACTTCAACTAACCTAACGCACCAATTTCCATTCACCCCGATTGTACACTTCAAAATATACCATCTTTAACTTAAAAACATACTCTATTCACGGATGTATGTCATAAATCAGCCAATTCGAAGATGGAAACCTAACACACATAAGCCCTCAGCACACCCTTGAAGCACAAACACGTCATACACCCATTGATTCAAATGCACCCTGCCAGACATACACAACTCAAGCATACACCTCAACTCGTAAAAGATGCCCCGACTCAGATACATTCCAAAACTCAGAAGCCCAACACACCCCAAGTCCAGATACATCCTAGGATGCGTCCTCTGCAGTCATATGTATGTTGTGGTTCAAAGACTCCTTTGTCCCACCCTAGGGGTTCCTCTGAGTCCATGCCTCCCTGGATAAAACACCACCCCATCAGGGAAAGGAGTGAACCCACGGGATGGGGATGCCCCGCTTCTCCCACCACCAGCCCCAGTCTTCCTGATTCCTCAAGTGCTGGCGCCTAGGCGTGTGGTCTGCACCTGCGGGAACGCAGTATCTAGTCCCAACTTTGTGTTCTCGCTTCAACACCTTGGAAAAGCTTTTGTCCAGCCCAGGTCCCTCTACCTCCAGGTCCCTCCCAGGAAGAGGTTACCTGGAAAGTCTTTGTAGCTGTACACACTAGGGATTGGTGTGCCTATGTCCCCTCTCCCACCCCACCCGGGACCCCTACCTCGCCTTCCAACCTCAGTGCACAGTAGAAGAGGGGGAACTGTTCAGGTTAAATGCAGAGTTCAGGGCCTCCTGCTCAGCTCCCCTCCCCCGCCACACGCAGCAGCTACTGCAAGCGTGTGCGCATGTTCTGGGAGGGGGGGGCAGGGCGAGGGGGCGGTACCCAGGCTGAATCACCAGAGCCCAGCCTCCTGTGGCAGGAGCCGTGGCTGGCGATCCCCGCCCACCTCCCTCAGGCTGGGTCACCGGGTGGTCTCTCCTTCCCCTACTGCAGCTTCTACCCTGCCCCGCCCCCCCACCCACCTTGAGCAGCTCCCTGGGGAAGTCGCCGCCATCGTTGAGACCCTCCAGGTTCCCAATGAAGTCCCCGCAGGTCATGCGTTTCCCAATGTTCTAAGGAAGGAAACAGAAGCCTATAAGCTTGGGAGATCGTGGGCCTCCCAGGCCTTGAAGTCTCTGGGTAGGGGCCTGTTTTCTGGCTCCCACTTTCCCGCCCCCAACTCACGTGGCCATGAAGATCTGTGTTGAGTAGCATGAGGGCGCAGGTCAGTGTGTGGGCGCCATCTAAGAAAGAATTGACAATCAGCTTTGGCCCCCTCCCAGGGACTCTTTGCAGCTGGTCTTCCTAACCACTCAGTTCATCCTGCCCCTTTTCAGGACCCCCTTTGGCCCACAATCACATCTTCCTTAGACTGGAACCCCATTAGTGAACTCTCCCTATCACTGTCTTCCAGCAGATCCCTCAGCATGGACCTTTACCCATCTCCCTAGCTCCCTAAGGTGCTAGGTACTGCTCCCTGTTTGCCTCCAACACGCACATGCCTCTATGCACTAAGCACAAACAAGTCTACCCCACAGTGTATGCAGACCAGTGCAAATCCCCACTCCAGCCAAGCATGGTACTGCACATGTATTTCAACAACTGCATGCAAACACAACTGCCACCTGCCTCTACACAACACTCTCTTGATCCTAGCAATATTCCTGCCTACATACATGTAACTAGCACTGTCTGACAACACATGCATGTTCACATGCCTACAGCGTTCACATGCCTACAGGCATGTTCACTTGCCTACATGCCTTTCTGCACACACACATGCAGTAGTGCTCCACCCTTCTGCCTCAGTGGTCAGCTGGGCAGCCCTACTCCTAGCCTCCTCACCCTCTGAGGACAGGGCTTCCGGATTACACTGGAAGTACCGCTGGGAGAAGTGGGCCAGCACACGTTCTCGCTCCTGGGTCTCACCCATTAAGGCCAGCTCCTTCAGAAACACCCTGAGAAGTAGGGAAGTTGGAGGATGTCATCGCCTTCCAAAACCCCCTTGCTAGGCAGCCCTGGCCTTTAGCCATGCCCAATCAGTTTGGGAAGGACAGCTTAAGGGAGGCACGGGGGTTAGAGGGAGACATAGCTGGGCCCCTGAACACCAACCCTGGACAGTAGGGACTGTCCTCCAAGGGCTCAACACCCACCTGAGAGCTTGGTCCAGAGTCATGCCTGTGAAGACAAAGAACTTGAGGTACTCGCCAGCTACCAGTTTGCTGAAGTCATTGCTGTGGACAGGGCAGAGAGACAGGTGGGATCTCAAGGGGAAGTGTCAAGGGGTCAGCGGGGGGTTACCTAGAGACCAGGGACATTAAATGGAGAGGATGGAGGTGCTGCCCCCAGGATGCATTCCCTCCACCCCCGTCCTCAGTTCCAGCCCGGTGGCTTTACTTCTTGCCCAGATGTCGGGCCACATCAGCCTTCCTGAAGCCGTCTAGTCGGTACAGCCTTTTAGCCAGGCGCTGTGCGGCTTCCAGATCCGCTTTCTGTCCATTGGACAAGGTATCTGTGCTTCCTAAGGCCAGCCGCTCTGTGCTGTCCAGCTCTGAGTCTGAGTCGGACACCAGCTGGCTCAGGGGTGGTTCACTGCCAGGGTAGAACACCAGCTCAGGGCTGGGCAGGGTCCTTTGGGATCCCCCAGACCCTCCCTCTGCCTCCAGACCCAGAGATGGAGAAGGGGAGAGGGGAACATGGGAAACACATTTTTCTTTTCTCCAGGGAAGGAGACTGGATAGGTTCTTTCATCAAACTATTCCATCATTACCAACTGTCTGTGGAAGTCCTGCCCCAAGTCTAACCCTCATCTGTCTTATTGCTGTGGGAGTTCCGGCTGCTTCCCCAAAGCTCCCAGGGTTTGCTATTAGATACACATTCCCTATTATCACACATGGAACATGAGCCTCTGGCCCTGAGGTATAGGCAGAGGTGGGATAGATAGGCTGCCAGGGAGGAACAGTAGAGGGTCAGGCAAAGATTTGAGGACAGTAGAGACACTCATGTGTTCACAAGTGTTTCTTCTTCCCACCTTTTAGGGAAAGGAGACTCCTTTGTGTCTCCCTTCTGCCCACCAAGAAGGCTCTGGGGTTAGAGGAACTGGGGGTCAGGGTACATCCCCTCACCCCCTTTTTCCTTCCCACCCCAGCTGCTCTACTCAAAAAGCCACCTGTCACCCCAGAGACAGAGGCCGGAAACTCCTGGTTGCTAGGCAACCCCGTCTTCCTGGCCACCCCCTCCTGTTGCCATGGCTTCCATGACTGAGAGGGTAGCTGGCAAAGGGGAGAGCAGAAAGGTTAGGCTGTGAAAGGAGGATCCTGGAGCAGGAGGAGAGACACCCGACTGGGCAGGGCCAGGGAGGGAGAATATGGGAGGGGCTGATGACTGGGCTTTAGAGAAGCCCTCAGGCCAGGTGGCAGTGAGAGACTCCACCTGGGGGGAAAGGGCCTTCCAGGGGAGATAAAGGATGTTCTCTGGGGTTCCTCCAGTCCTGAATTATGGTTTCTCCAATTACTGGATCTGAGCCCACAGGGGAGTTGCAAGGGGTCAATGGAAGTAGCCCTCCAAATGGGAAAACAGATATCTGTTAACCATCCCACTTGGGTCAGGAGTACAAACCACATCCTCACACTTCAGATCTGTTCCTTAAACCAGCTGGTTCTGGGACCCTGAGGGCCTTGGGGCTGAGAAAACCAAAGGAATTGCTTACCTGCCAAGGGGTGCCACTCCTAGCCCAAGGCTGTCTTCAGAGTGGCTGGGACTAGGGGGCTCCCTCCCTGGGGACAGCTTGGTTCTGGCCTCTGCCTCCTCCTCCTCCCCTCTCTGTGTCCAAGGCCCATCAGCAGCAGAGCTGGTACCAGAATCCGGTTCAAGAGGAGCAAGTGGGGCAGGAACAGGTGGGTCAGGCCGGGGAGCAGGGGGTTGAGGAGGCAGCTCAAAGGTAAAGAAAGGGCTCTGGGTTGGGCCCGGTGAGGCCAGGGCCTCCAGGGAGGCAAGGCTGGTATAGGAGGTGCCCTTGGCCCGGTGTGATTCCAGGATGGCTTCAAACACACAACTGAAAGAGTCAGGCCCATCAGCTGAGGGGCTGATCCCAGGAAGGAAGGGCACAGGCGACTTGAGAGGGCCTGAGTGAGGCATCTGGCTACCTGGCCTGCAAGGGCAAGGAAATGTCTGATCAGGGACCCAGAGCACAGGTTTGGGGCATGATTTTATTGAGCTCTCACACTGACTACACTGACTCTGTTAAGGGGATTATGATCCCCTTTTCACAGGTTCAACCCCCCAAAAAAAAGAGCTAGCTGAGTTGAGGGTGCAAAAGATTCGGTGCTTCTGCAGCACCCCAGCCCTGCCCACCCCAGCACCCAATCCCCCTCTTCCTCCCTCCCTGCTAATCTCCCTTTCTCCTCCTTTCCCCTGATCCGCTTCCCTCCTGCCATCCCATTTCTATTTCTGGCAACATCTTAGGAGAAGATGAGGCTCCAAGCTGCAATGGGGTGTGAGACGGAAAGGAAAGCACCTGCGCTCCCCAGTCTCCTGCCTGGCCCCAGGCTCTGGACTGATGCTCCCATATCATCAGGATGAATTCTGACTTCTGATCTCTCATTCCTGCCTCTGATCCTCTAAACGCGTTGGCTCCTCTGTCTCCTGGGTTCTTGCTGATGCCCCCGCATCCCCAACACTGCGAGGCCTCAGTCCTCTGCCTGAAATCTACACTCCACACTGCCCTGTCAGAACCATCAACTTGGTTCTGACCCTCCCAGCCCTGCTCTCATCCTTATCCATGTCCCTATGACACCCCCACCCCACCCCCTTGTCTCTGGGCCAGTGGGAAGGAGCAAGCCATTTCCTCTCCCAGTTCCCCACTCACCGGACCCCCTCTGAGGCCTCAAACACCTCATCATCCACATCCTCTTCCCCACCTGCCTCATCCTCGTCCTCATTTCCACTGCCCAGGCTGGAATGAGGGCCAGGGCATGGGCCAGGATGTGGGGCAGGTGGGCGGGCAGTGCCAGGTGGGCCCTCAGAGCTGGGCTGACTCTCGATGGCTGAGTCAGCCTCCTCCCGCTCAGCCAGCACCTCATCGATGTCAGTCTCTCGGTAGCACCTCAGGGGCACCGTGTCCAGGTCCGTCTCGGAGTACTTGGTTGCTTGCCCCACAGCTACCCCAGAGCCCTGCCCTGAGCCCATCCCAGATGGAGATGGGGAGGCCTGCTCTGGGGGTTTAGCACCTGTAGTGTGCATAGGCATATGGGTCAGGAGTTTATGCATTTCAGTCCCCTGTCCTGGTCCTATTCTGCAACTCCCCCATGGTCTCATGTTGGCAGGAAGTTCTTTCACTGTCTAGCCACCATTCCTCCTGTCACAAACTTTGTTTATCCTTGTACCAGTGGAGTTCATTTCAAACCAAGTCTTGTCAACTTTGAGAAGCCTGAAGGAGATCGGTGTCTTTTCTACTCCAAAGAATGACTCTGATATTCTGCTGTCCCCTCCCTCCATGGCTGAACCTCTTTCAGGTTCCCATTCTATGCCTGTCCACCATCATGACACATATGGGAAGACTGAGGCTGGGAGAGGCTTTGGCTAACTAAGGAGCCAGGAAAGGATTGGGGCAGGTTTGAAGGAAGCCTCCCTACCTGTCCTCAGCTGCTGTTGGGAGGCCCTGCCCCCTTCCCCTGGCTCAGTCCCAGGCCTTACCTGAGCTGGGGGGATCCAAGGAGCCATAGAAGAATTCCCATTTGGCTCGAGCAATTCTCTGGGCATGAGAGGAGACTTCCCGGGGAGAGGACCAGGTGTCCCCCTGAGCCAAGGAGGGAGAGACAGAGGCAGCACCCAGAGATGAAGCCAGAGATATACAAGGACAATATGGGACAGAAACAAATAAAAACACAGGGACAGAAATGGAGGTGCAGAGACACAAGGACAAACACAGAAGGCAAGAAAGAGACAGATTTAGGACATTGAAAGATTCAGAGACAGGCCCAAGCCTGACAGGGGAACCAAGCCTTTCCCCTTCATTGGGGCACTAGGGCTTCAGGAAACCGAAGGCAGGTTGCATACCTGGTTCAGGGATCCAGTATCACCAGGTCCTCGGAATAGTGTAGCCAGGCGCTCAGGGGGGCCCCCCAAACCATTGGGAAGAGAAGAGTAAAGACCATCTGCTCCAACCTGGGGTGGAACTGGTGGCCCACGTAAGGGGTCCCTGCTGCCGGGAAGGGCAGAACCTCCTCCAGCTGGGAGTGGATCTGATGTGGATGCCTCTAGCCGCAACTTCCGGTTGGAGCCAGGCCCGAGGACTGGGGTGGGTCTGGGAGGAGAAACTCCACCCAAGTCCCAGCTCCGACTCAAGCCTCCAGAAGCAGGTAACCCATTCAGTGGCCTCACACTGGCCTTCTCCACAAAGCGGAAGATGACCACGGAACTCTGGGCCCCCGGTGGGGGCTGCCCAGTGGGTGAAGAGGGTGCCCAGGGTGAGGGTACAACGCGGGGAGAAGGGGGGCCACGCAGAGGTGTACAGGGTGCGGTTACACGTCCCAGTTCCCGGCCTCGGGGACCTGGACCTGCCACTCGCCGCAGCAGGGAGCCTGTGCTGCCATACATGCTGGCTGGGGGGCTCTGGGGCACAGGGCCCTCGGGGAGCCAGCGGCGAGGGCATCGTGGTGGGGAGATGGCACAGTCACCTTCCGAGCAGAAGCGCATGGCACCCTGGGCCATGCTGGGGCCGGGGGTCAGGCTGGGGGGGCAGGGATGGCGAGGCCAGGTGGGGAGTAAGGGGGCTGCATGCTCTTCAAACAGGCCTGCAAGAGAGGAGGGGGAGCAGGGGGTGAAGTGCCCGTGGGTTAGATGGGCAGGTCAGCAGAGAAAAGGAGAGGAAAGTTGGCTGGGTCTCTGCACTCCAGGGACCTAGCCCACCCTGGAAATATGGGGCCATTGATCCCATCCCTGGAGGGTACTTCCTTGGAGGCCTGAGAAGAAAAAAATCATCCACCCAATGAGACCCTGGCTCCTTTCCTTCTACCTGGGGGCCCTGAGCATCACCCTGGGAAGAGTGAGGAAGCTAGTTCAAAAGTTGAGTGAGCTGAGTCTCTGGCAATTTGGAGCTACTTCTGGTGTGGGGGAAGCTGGTATCCCAACCTCTGGATCAGGAATGTTAGTCAACCATCACCATTACTCAGCCCTAGTGCTCTATAGTCCCTCTTATGGGAGACCCTCACTAAGAGAGGGAGAACTCAGACCTTCTGGAAGGAAAGGAAGAACAGGGGTTATATAGGGACGATGAAGGGCTGAGAGGCATAGCAGAGGCCTGAACAGAGACCTCTATCTTTAATACATAGATATTGTATGCTGAATGGAAAAGATACGTGTTTTTTTTTTCCATACGGGTATAAATGCACATGCAAACACACGCACACACATGCACACACACATGCACACACACACAAAAACATAAAGACAAATATATCAGTACACAAAAACATTCATGGGCAACACCCTCCAGCACACACAGACACAGATGTACACACATACTGCTCAAAGACACACCCTCATACACTCTCACAGTCATAACAAATATGTGTGTAACGAAAAGGCACATGCTTGTTTTACACACACACCATCACCAAACAGGAACACACAAAGAGGTACTCAAATGTACACACAGGCTCTCATTCTCCAAGGCACACAGAGACACAGGTGTATTGGACAAGCAACCTACTGGTCACAATCACATACAAATACAGATGCACATTTACACATATACTCAAGCAGGGACACACACTGTCCCCTCCCCCTCAACAGTCACGGGATCTCTGGAGGGTAAGATTGCACCATATCCCTCTCCTTCCCTCCTCCCCTTAGGGTTATGACAGATCTTGCCTAGCCCAGGAGGGACCATAAAGGGATAAGAGGGCTCTGGCAGCAATGCGGAGTAGAGGCAGAGGCCAGGAGCAGCAACCCTGCCAGGTAGGTTCCTGAAGCTCAACAGGGCCCTCGTGAGTGTCCCCTGTGCAGCCCCTACTCAGAGCTACCTCAGTACTCACCGCTGCTCGTCCAGAGCTGGGACCGTGGAGAGGCAAAGGAGAGGCTGGGCCCTGCTCAGCTGTGAAGGCAGCACGGCTCCCGCTTGCTCCAGGCCCGCCCGCCTCTCAGTCCCTCCTCCAACCCCCCCCCCCACGCGCCGCTCAGCAGCGCTAATCCCCCCACCCCCTCCCCTCCCAGGGCCCTGAGTCTCTGAGGCTGCCAACCCTCCTGGTCTCTAGGTCCCCACTGGGCTCTCCCGCCAACCTAGGACCCACCCTAGACGAGGGGGAGAGCATAGGCACCCCCCCCCCCCCTTTTGTTCGCCAGACCCTCACATGCCCCACAACACTTGTGTCCAGGTCCTCTCGTCCTCTGCCTCCTGAGCCACACGTAGGGCCCAGCTGCACACGCGTGTCCTGCTCCAGACCCCACGCGTGTCCCCAGGAGGCTGCCACATGACCTGTTACATGCCACACGCGCTCCCGCCCCCACGAGCACGGGGCCGAGCAAAGCACACGGTAGGGGTGTACACAGGACCCGCCCCCTAAACCCAGAAGACCAACTATGGAAGGGAGGTGAAGATACACGTCTTGAACCCTTCGTCGTCTCAGACCCAGGTGACCCAATCCTGACAACCCACCCAGGATGCGGAAGGAGGGATGTTAAGTCAGACTTCAGGAGGAACTTGTCGCTACCTGAGTTAGTTATCCTTCCCTCCCAGGGGTAAGAGGTTAGATGGGATGACCTCGAGACTGGAAGAAGTGGAGGACAGGCACCCCTTGTGCCCTTTGCCCGGGTAGAAGGGGGTCTGGTTATTTTAAGAAAGAGCCTCACGAGTTACTATAGCAACTACTCCTCTTGGTTAGGCCAGGGAGAGCAGATGATGACCTCTAAAGGAAGGGGTCGGTTTGGGCAGTCAGGGGGAGCGAGGACGTGCGAGGCGGGGGCGCGCGGGGCTCACCGCGGGGAGGGGTGGCGCGGGTTCCGCGTGGTGCTGAAGGGGACAGCGCCAGATTTGTTGTACTGCGCAGGCGCAGAGGTGCGAACAAAGCGGGGAGGGGGAGGAAGGAGGCGCGCGGCCGGAGGTGGTGCGCGCCCACATGGCTCTATCTTTGCAGAGATTGGTCCTCCCAGCTACCCCTTCCCTAAGGCTGAGGAAGAAAAGGAAGCAAGCCCATCACCCAACTTGACCCTCTTCTGGTCCTTTCCCGCTGCTGGCTTCTCCATTCTTGCTACATTGAGGGGTGATAGAGCGTGGTAGGGATTCTGGGAAAACCAGGATGTCTGGGTTGTCTACCCGTGTCTTGTCTTTTTTTTTTTTTAAGTGTCTTGTCTGATCCTGGCCAAGACGCTTTCTCTCCAGAACCTCAGTTTGCGCATCTTTAAAATGGAGTGATAGGACAGACCTGCCCACCTTGAAGAGATGCCCAAAGTCCTGATAAGATAGCGGATAGAAAGCAGTTTAAGTTATGTAGAGTCGGCTCTAGCGGTAGCACAGAAGGAGCGTGAAAACCTGAGTTCTTCACATGCCCCTTCACCTACCTCTTGGATGGTGAAGAAATCAAGAGATTCCCCAGGATGGGAACTGAAACGATGACATGGGGATGTGGTAAAAGGGAAGCCTGGTGGCTGAGTTCAGAGCTCTGAATCGTCCTTGTGACACAGCGAGCCCAGCCCCAGATCCCACAATTAAGGCCAGCCAAGAAACAGTACCCCTGTGCTGAACTGAATACACATTTTTCTCAGGACTCTGAACTTCTAGAGAAAAAGAAAGGGTCTGAGCTGAATAGCGTCTCCTGTGTCTCTCTAGGCAAAAACCCGGCCCACACTGTCTGGAAGTGGAAGAGGATGGACAGTTTTGTACTTCACAGTTAACAAGGAATGAGAGGTTTGAATACGTTTGCTTAATGAAACGAAAAAATTCCAGCATCACACCATTTATTTGTTCTTTCAGTAGTTGTTAAGCACCTACTGCGTGTCAGACAGTAAGACCCTATACAGTTTTCCCCCATTTTTTAAAGTCGCTAAATGCCACCAGAGGATAGAGAGGAGGTCCTCGGTAACCCAAGAGTCTTGGCTCCGCCCCTTCGGTTTTTGGCTTTTCCTGCTCCTTCCATCCCTACTTCACTTAGAGGCTGTTGCAGGCCCATGAAGAACGCAGAAACCAGTCTTCGTCCACCACTTCTCCAGCCTAGGGCTTTGAGCCCTTTGGCCGAGAAGGCGAGGTCTAATGTTACACCTTTAGTCTGTTCTCTCTCAGTTTTGGGGTCCAACCGGAAAGCTTTCAGAGACGATCCTCAGTGAGACGGCACTCGATTGAGTCGGTCTGTCTCTACAGCCCAAAGAGGCGGGCTCGCCGCAGCAGCTCCAAGGCCAAAGCTAGAGTTTATGTTACTGCGCACGCGCACTAGACAACCAATGGAGCCACCAATGGAGCCGTCCGGAGGGGAGCAAGAACCCGGAGCCGTCAGGTACCGAGCACTGGAGGGGCCGAGGAAGGAAGAGATGCCCAGGGGAGGGAGATGAGCCTAGGCTGGGCCTGAGGGCAGCTCTTGGGAACCCCGATGCTGGAGCCTAACGGAGGCGGACTCGCAAGTAAACAGCGGTCCACGGATACCAATGCCTCTTTATCCTCAGACTCCTGGACCTGCCCTGGGAAGACGTGTTGCTCCCACACGTCCTGAACCGGGTCCCGCTGCGCCAGCTGCTTCGGCTGCAGCGCGTTAGCCGGGCCTTCCGTGCGCTAGTACAGCTGCACCTGGCCGGGCTGCGCCGCTTCGATGCCGCTCAGGTGAGCCCGGGGTCGAAGACCCGCCCCATTCTGGGTACCACCCCCGCCTCGTCTCTAGCCCAGCCCCCAACTACGCTGTGCACCCTTCGGGTCCCCAGATGCAGCCAGGCCTGCCTGGGAAGCGATCCACGCAGCATGTAGTAGCCCCAAGGGACGAGTACTAGGTAGCGACTCAAAAGGGAGCGTGGCGTCTCTCCTGGGAGGGCAGGTGTCAAGCCAAAAGGGTTGTGAAGAAAGAACTCAGCGGCAGATAGGCAGCGTCTGTCCCGCCCCCGGGACCAGCTGAGGGTCCGGTGCCTCTCCGTCCGCAGGTGGGTCCGCAGATCCCGCGGGCTGCATTGACCCGGCTACTGCGGGACGCCGAGGGGCTGCAAGAGCTGGCGCTGGCGCCGTGTCACGAGTGGCTATCGGACGAGGACCTGGTACCAGTGCTGTCACGGAATCCGCAGCTGCGGAGTGTGGCACTGGCCGGCTGCGGGCAATTGAGCCGCCGCGTGCTAGGAGCTCTAGCTGAGGGGTGCCCCCGCCTCCAGCGCCTGTCGCTTGCGCACTGTGACTGGGTGGACGGACTGGCGCTACGCGGCCTAGCTGACCGCTGCCCCGTCCTGGAGGAGCTGGACCTCACTGCATGTCGTCAGCTCAAGGACGAGGCCATCGTGTACCTGGCGCAGAGACGCGGCGCCGGCCTCCGCAGCCTCTCGCTGGCGGTCAACGCCAATGTCGGGGATGCAGCAGTCCAGGAGTTGGCTCGGAACTGCCCTCAGCTGGAGCACCTCGACCTCACTGGCTGCCTCCGCGTCGGAAGCGACGGCGTCAGGTGCCTGGGGGTCGGGGAGGTGGGAGGAGGGCAAATCATTCAGCCTTGTGGGGGAGGAGTGGGCTTTAGTTGTCAAAGACCGAACTGAGAGTTCTGGACCTTCCTGCTAACCAGGGCACCCCCAATGTGAACAGAAAGGCATCTAGGTGTGTCTACGGCAGAAAGCCCAGTTCAAAACTCTTGAGCTATCATTAACACGTTGGGAGACTTCACACCCAAAGTCACCTTCTAGTTTTTCTTCAACAAGGGGAAATCCTACAGTCCGGGGTGGAGCTGAGGAGCACATCCCCCCCCCTCCCCTTTAAGAGACAGCAAACCTCCAGTTGTTGGCCTGGAATGTTTGATCCTATTCAGGCCCTCTCCCTCGGATAGGAGAAAAAAAAAATAGGAGGAAAAAAAATGTCCTGAGCTGCAGGGAGACCTGGAATTTGCTGGAGCCTGCAGGAGGCTGGATGCGTGCCTCCTGCCTCTAGCCTCTCCCCCTCCTTCCTCAGGACATTGGCGGAGTACTGCCCAGCACTACGCTCTCTGCGGGTGCGGCACTGCCACCACGTGGCTGAGCCTAGCCTGAGCCGCTTGCGGAAGCGTGGTGTGGACATCGATGTGGAGCCTCCGTTGCACCAGGCCCTGGTGTTGCTGCAGGACATGGCGGGCTTCGCACCCTTTGTCAACCTGCAGGTTTGACCCTCCTGCCAATGAGAGCACAGCTGGACTGTGTGGCTGGGCCTGACACTGAGCTGTAGGGAAAATGAACTGTGGAGACCTCTGGTGAGAGGCCAGTGCCCTGCCCCATCCTGGAACTTCAAATAAAGAGCTTTTTACTCTCTTTTGTCTGGTGCTGCCTTGTTGGACACAGGGAATGTAAGGTTGGGGAATAAAGGTCAGACAGGCTTAGTATTCCAGCCATGAGGCAAAAATGACCAGAATGCACTCACACCTTCCTTGGGCCATCTTTACTGTGCCCTTGGAGGCAGGTTTGAGAGTAGGTTAACACTGTGGAACAACAAAGTAGAGAAGAGGAAAAAGAAGGTGACAGGAGTAAGGGAGGCCCCTGTGTGGGGGTGTAGGGCTCCTGCATCCCTCTGGGATCTGAGCCTAGAAGGCTCCAGCAGAGTCCAGCAAGTGCCTCAGTGGAAGCGGTACTTCCTGGCCGGCTTGAGATTGATATATGTGGCCTTCATCTCCTCAGCCTCAGGGTTACGCACATCTTTGAATCGCTCTCCTTTGGTGCTCACCACCTGATTGTCAATGTATCGGATCAGCTTCTTGGGAGCCTGTTGGGCAATCAGGCAATCAGGTAGTGAGTAGAAGAAGCCAGGAGTCAGTCTCCTGACTTCACATCCCTAGCTGCCCCCAACCCTCTTACCTCCTTGGGAGCCATGGGTCGGTGAATCTTCTGATCCTCTGCACTATCCACCATCATGTACCTGCCAAAAACTGGATGGCTGAAGCTCCTGCCACCCTAGGAAGACCCTTCTGCCCTGCCCTACCCAGCCCAGCCCAGCCCAGCCCAGGCTCACTTCTGCAAGATGAAGGACTTCAACTCATCTTTCTGGGGGCCCCTGAGGCGCCTAGGTAGGTCCTGTGGAGAGGAAAGGTCTCGTGTAGATCCAACGGCACCAGCAGGGAAAACAGATGGGAATGAGAAGGGGAGGGGTGCTTAACAACAAGCCTAGGCTGTGTGGGTGGGAGGACAGGGCTAGGATGGGATACCTGACTGGGGCCATCCCAGGCTGGAGACCCCTCTTCTTTCCCCTCTACCAGCATCTGCACAGCTTCTTCCAAGTCCCCCCGTGCTTTAGTCAGCACCCACTGGGCCTGCTCCATTGAACAGGTAGGGAACACCTCCAAGAGTACATCCACACCCGGAAGCAGCTCCTCCTCAGCGCCAGCTGCCTGTGGGCACAAACATTGACAAGAGGCAGCACTTCCTCCTTTCCCACCCCCAAGGTCCCTAATCAGTATCCTCCTCTACTAGTACCTCATCTTGGGTGTCCCCAGCAGCAGCAGGAGACCTGGCCTCTTCTTTGCGCTTTTCAGGCCGCTGCAAGGGCTCTGGGGAGATGGGAACCTGACCTTGGATACAAGAGCTCTGTGGTTGCAGGTTCTCTTAAAAGAGGTAGAGAGGGCATCAGGTTTACCAGGGGCGTGGAGGAAGGATTAGGAATCCCCCAAGTGTCTGAATCCCAGACTCACCTTTGTTCTTGGCATCACTGAGCTGCCCAGAGAGCTTCTTCATCATGTCCCCTATTGTGCCCCTAAAGGAAGAGGAAGGCAGTGAGAGGACTACTTTGCCTACCCCGCACAACCAGCCATTCCCCCATCCATTTAGCCCCTGCCAGGCCTTACCTGGGAATATGGGCAAAGCCAGGCACATAAGCCTCCATCATCTCAGTGAAGGCCTCCATATCAAAGTTCTCCTCTGATGGTCCTGAGGGGCCCAGCTCCTCCAGGACCCCAAGCACATAGGAGAAGATAACTTCATCCAAGCCACTGTAGGAAGAGGACAGGACAAGCCCCAGGTAGGACACTTTACACTTGTAGTACCCCCACCTAGCCTGAGACTCCAGCCTTTGGCTTCATAGGATCTATGAGTTAGACCTCAATCCTTGAGGGCAAAGAGTATTCCCCTCCTCCTCAGAGTTTTGGTTTTCCATCCATCCAATAAAAGTAATGACAAGATGACAGGGAAGGCCACCTCAACAAATCAAAATCAGCCCTCCCCATCTCAGGAACACAGCCAAGTGCTTTCCACCCATCTTGCCACTGGTCAGGCCCCAGAGCACTGCCTGGCAGCCACAGCCTCAGCCCTGGCTGGTTCTCTACCTGAGGTCGGCCTCTGGGAGGTTTGTCTGGACAAACTCAAGGAGTGCTGCACTGACGATCCTCTCCAGCTCCATGATCTCTCCTCTTCTGAAGGGACACAAGACAAAGGATTACCAAGCCCTCTTATGCCTGCCCTCACTCACTGGGCCTGGGGCAGTGGCTCCTCCCTGCCCTCCTGCTATAGAACCATCTGTTGAGTTGCCCTCCCAGCTCCCCCAAATAGTCACAGCCCCTTCCACTACCCATGTCTACCACCTCCAGCTTAAGGCAGGACACAGCATTGTCTCCAGAAAGCTGCCCCACCACTCCCCAACCTTCAGCCCCCCATTTCTCCCCATCCCTCATACCATTCCCCAACAGCTAGCCCAGACCCTCTGGTAAAAAGTCAAGGTCTTAGGGTCACATGCCTCCTGGCTGAGGAATCTCATAATTGAGGGAGCACTTGGCCCCCAAGTCCAACCACAAAGGGCTCCATTGTCTAGCCACCCACCCTCTGCACAAAGGGGCTTTTCTGGCTCTGGGACCTAAAAAGAAGGGAGAGTCTTTCATGGATTCTCTCTTGCCCAGACCCTGCCCTTCTAGCAGCCTGGCACTGTCTAGAAGACTTTGCATCCTCCTTCCCCAGGCTTACAGAGCCCCATAAGCCTGTAAGATCTGGCCCTTGCTCACCTCCCCAACCTCACCATCCCTCCTCACTCCTGCCCACAGCCTGCTTACTGTTCCTCAAACCTGTTGAGCATCTTCCTGCCTATACCTGTAGACATCTTTAGGGATCATGCCCTCACTTCCTCCAGAGCTTTGCTCAACTGTTAACCTCCTCAGAGAGATCTTCTACCAAAACTAGTTATTTTCCACAATACTCAACCCCTTACATGTTATTTTATGTTTATTTGCCTAATATCTGTCCTACAGAATGTACTATAAGCTCTAAGAGTAGAGGAACTGTCTTGATCACCGGTGTTAGACTCAGCACCTAGGAAAATGTTCACATTTAATGGATACTCGGTAAATACTTGTTTACTTAGTTTGGCTCCATCTAAACACTTCTGACTCCCCAAAGACTATTTAGGAGTGAGAGACACAGAGGTAGTAAGGAATGGCTGCAGACCCATAGGTCCAGATGTCAGTTCATCCTCCCATTTGGAAGGCTCAGAGATATCTCACCTTCCACCCACCCTAAACTCATATCTTCCCAAATTTGTGCATTTCCACTCCAAGCCACTTCCTCCTGTTTCACCAGCTCACACCACTCATTTTGCTGCAGAACATGAAACTTGGGGATTGCCCTTGATCTTGCCCTCTCTCACCCACATCTGTACTCACTAAGTCCTATCAAATCCAATGCTTTATTATTCTCCATCTATCCACTTATCCCTCCAGGCTGGCTTCTATTCCAACATCTTTACTGGCATTTCTCAGGCTAAGGTTACTAGTTACTTTTTCAGGTTTCAGGTCTAGCCAAGTTGAACCATATGAGATTGCTAGTTTTGTCTGGTTCTGGGCTACCAAAAGAGAGAGCACTTTCTTATGGTTTCACCTAACATTTGCCCTTTTGATAACACCAACTATGGTTTTTGATATATCCCATTCTCCTGTTTTCCTTCTCTCTGGCCATTTCTTCCCTGGCTCCCTCTTTGCCCTCTTCTCTGCCACTCTTTTCAGGCTCACAGCCACTTCTCTCTCCTCACTCTGCACACCCTCCCTCTCTGGAAGATCTCACTGGGCCCACATTCTTAAGTACCAACTTTATGTCATCAATTCCCAAATGTCAAATCTCTAATCTAGTCTTCTCCGAGCTACAAACTTTTGTCTCTATCTCTATGACATGGCCAAGTGCATGTCTTTCAGGCATCTCACACTTAACATGTCCCAAAATAACTTCTCCAGTTTTCTACTCCTTCAGGTCCATCCTCCCTAAATGTATGTATAGGCGTGCAGCTATTCCTGCCACAGGTCTGGAAATTATCCTTGACAGCATCTTACCCTTTACTTTCCTCTAGCCAGTCACGAAGCGCTGACCATTTTCTCTTTACACATCTACTTTTCTCCTCTCACTCTTGCTTTCAAAGAGGTTTCTAACCCTTCTCCCCACAGCAGTCCCTGGATCATGCCCCTCTACTCTGGCCTGCTTTCAGTTTGTGAACATTCAAGCCCCTGATCTTCTAGAACTGGTATGATGGCTACGATTTTATACCCTCGTTACAAACAACGTTTTTCCTTACATAGCAGGACCTTTCACAGCTGTAGTTAACAGATTATATGGACAATGTTTAATGTTTCTTACAGTTGTTTCATGAAGGCAGGGACTATACACCCAGCTTATTCACCAGTACATATTCAGCACCCCCCATGAAGTAGGCACTCAATAAATATGTATTCACAGATGAAGAAAGTGAAGCTCAGTTAAGGTTTAAGTCCAGAGTTAGGTGTATAGCTCAGTGATAAAGCACTTGCCCTGGATTCAATTCCCAGTACCACCACCAAAAGAGAGAGGGAGACAGAGAGAAAGATTTAAGTCTTGGTCACCCCTAGTTTAGTGCCTGTTCTAAGGTCTACTTGGGATGGGGATATTAAGACTTCCAATTGAGTTGGGACAGGGCTACCATCTATGATCACAGCTGCCTGCTCCTCTAATCAGTAACACAGAGCTGCTGTGAGAGCACAGGGTCACTTTGGAAAGTAGGAGTGAATAACTCAGTTTACAAGGAAGATGCCTACCTCCTGCTTCAAAACTTTAGCCATGGGCCCCCAGGAATTGCAAGATAGCTCAGGCCAGGCATACCAGATCTCTTCAAGCAGCTTCTCTGAGGGGATGACCCTTCAGGACTTATTACCCTCACTTCCTGGTTGCTATCAGCAGTCTGGCAACCTCTGTTGGACACACTCATGGCTGCTGCAGTAAAGTCCAGTTTCTAGGGAAAAAACTTCTCAGGGATATGTTTGATGTCTTTAGGTTTCTAACCAAGGTCTGGGGGTCAGGGAGTTGTTATCGGGAAACTCCTCATTTCCCCAAATAAAGTCTTCTTTGCCTAAGCTTTTATCCTGGCTTGTTATTACTTCCTGGGGGGTCCCAAATCAGGGACCAATGGTTGAAATGTGACTATTATCCTAAGTTCTGCTTAAACACTTCTGATGATGGTAAAAAGTTGGCTTGGCACTTACGTATTGTTTACCAGGCATTGCTAAAAGCACTTTATTGTATTAATTTTACATAATTCTCAAAATAACCCTAAAATATAGACACTGAAATTAGCCCATTTTACCTGAAAAGAAATAGAGGCACTGAGAGGTTATTTGCCCAAGGTCACAGAGCAAGCTAATGGCAGATTCACACCCAGTTAAGTCTGGCTCCAGAAGCCTCACTATTCACAACCACACCATCTCTCATGATGCCAATGGTGTGGTTCAAGCCTATATTATGATCCTCTCCTGCCTAACCAGCTGTCTTGAGTATTTTAGAATCTCTGCTCACACCATTCTCCCTGCTCAGAACATTCTTTCCTCTGTCTCTTCAAGTCCCATTCTGCAGGACTCACTTCCTCTCTGCAGCCAACCCTGACTACCCCATCTTCCCTCCCCGATTTGGCTTCCAAGGGCCAAGCACAGGCCTGCCTGTTCCAGATGCTCAACAGAGATTCTCTTGGCAAGTTAGACTTGAGTAAGATCGGTGTGGAAGGAGTCCTGGGGAACTCAGGCAGCACGGGGGCATCTAGCACCGAGGTCTATCTTCTTCCAGCACCTACAAAGCCTTGCTCCTGGGGTCCTAGACCCATAACGAAGGCCCAAGAATATACTATTTTCACCTGATCCCCAAGTCACGCCTTAAAGGAACCAAGGACATTGAGGGGAACAAGAGATTCACCATCCACACTCAGATGGGTGTACAAACGGGTAGTGGGGGTGTGGGCGGGAGTGGTGCACAGGAAGTGGGATCGCAATGATGGCGGACCCTGGAAGCAAGAGCTCCCTGAACCCAATAGTGGGACACCGTAAGCGTCCCGAATAGTGGGCCTGAAGGCATAGGGATGGGGTTACAGCCTTGGGGGACAAATGAAGGGGCAGGCCTGCACAAACTGGATGTGCCTTGCTACAGGCCACAGCGAAAATCAGAAATGGGAGTCTGGTGGCCCCGGGGAAGGTGCCGTGGGAGAACACGTAGGACGGCAACCTGGGTTATGCTCTCCGCGACTCTCCTAGCCCGGGGCCAGGGGCTGGAGGGGAAATCACCTGCTCCGTCGGGCGCCGCCAGCGATTTGTCCCGCGCGATGCAGCTCTCATCCCCCAGCCCCACCAACGAGATCAAAGGCGGGGCCTAGAGTGGTTCGCTTTCAGCGGTGCCGAGGTTGCCATTTTTGAGAAGGGCAAATTGCCCGTAACAGGGCGGAGCTTCGGGAACCTATTCTCAAGTGTCCCGGGGCTTGGGACCGGCTCCCGAGGCGGCCATTTTTGTTGCGGGAGGTCTCATCAGTGGGTGGAGTCACAGTGGCAGGGACCGTAACCTGCCTTGTTCCTCGCGTCGTCAGTCCGAAACCCAGAACCTTTCTGTCACGCCTATGTTCTTCCTATCCACCTTATTTCCTTGCCCCCAGGATCCCCACCCTGAAATTCTGTAGTTTTCCCCTTAGGACTTCCGTGTTTTTCCTTCCCTTCCACAGTCTTCGTGGCTCCCTGGTTGGATCTGGTGGCCCAACTGCAAGGCCTGGTGTTCTTCCCCAAATCCCACAGTCTCCACCCCAGTTTCAAGTCCTGTCATTCATTCAATTTTTAGGGACTGACTTCCCCACTTTGTCTTTCTGATCCTTTCCCAACAGCTATTTCTCCAATATCTCCCTGTGATTGGTGGTGGGGGCTACGGGATTTTGGGAAGGTCCCCGTGGTGAGGGTGGATCTGAGCCCAGATCCAGGATGGCCTGCAGACTATACCCACCACCAGTGTCCTATGCCATGTTGGCAGGGTTACTGATCTAGGACAGTACAACTGCGCGCTAGGACCCAGCAAGATCTCAGCTTCCTCTTTCTGTTCCTGTCTCCGCTTCCCCAGACTGCCCTGTGGGTAAGCCCACAGCCATCCCTTCCTGGGAACCTCAAAAGGGAAAGAGTTCCCTTGGACTGCGATTAGCTAGTCCATCCTAATCACCAAGAATGAGCCCCTTTCAGTGTTAGTCCCCTTGTAGAGTACAGAGGACTCTAAAGCTGTCCTTGCCCTCTGGGAGCTTATAGTCTAAGGGAGAAAGTCCCACTCTCTCTTCTCTCCTAGGGACAGGGGCAGTGCCAAGATAAGGAGAAAAGGGATTACTGCTCAGGCTTACCACGCGTATACCTTACCACAGACTCCCTCCTCCCCAGGAGGATCCTCTGGCTTCAGAGAAGAGCAGATTGTTGGTTATTGAGAGGGAACGAGGAAGGAGGAGGCAGGAGCATATTTGGCCTGGCTTCTCCCATAAAAACAGGGCCACTGCCAGCCCGAAGCTGCTGGGGTTAATGAGGGATGGGGCGACAGCCACTTTGAACTCTAACCAGACAGGCCCCTGGGAAGGGGGTGATGGGCACCCCTATCAGCCCTAGGCCTCTGCCAGCCCTTCCCTCCTCGTCCTCCACCCTCCTGTCCATTGCACAATGCTGATGACTAGCCCCTTACCACCCCGCCCCTTACTACCCCGCCCCTTACCACCCCCATTCCCAAACTTTCAGGTTTCCTTAGTAGGCTACCGCTAGGTCTGGGAGGAGACCCATACAACTCTTTCTGATGCTGTGCTTTCCCCCTCCCCATCTCCTGATTCTTGGATATCAGAAAGAATTTCCTGAGCGTTTAGGGAAGTGTAATGGGAAAGCTCTCTCAGGAGGAACCCCCTCCATTTCCAATTCAAACTCTGGAAAGACCCAACTCTGTACAGCAGAGGTCAGGTTCTGGAGTCCAAGGAGAGGGGCAGTGCCAAGATAAGGAGAAAAGGGATTACTGCTCAGTCTTTTATTATTATTATTATTATTTATTTGTAGATGGACACAATACCTTTATTTGTTTTTATTTTTATGTGGTGCTGGGGTTCGAACCCAGTGCCTCATGCATGCTAGGCAAGCGCTGTACCACTGAGCCACAACCCCAGCCCCACTGTTCAGTCTTACCGCCTGAAGGTGGTAAGGAGAAAGGTGAAAAAGGTAAAAAGACCAAGGAGAGGGACCACCACCAACACAAGGACATACAAATTGCAGGGGGCGGGGAACTCCATGGAACCCTTGCCCTGCTTGGGATTCCACAACTGTCCTGATCTTAAATCTCTGATTAGATCTAAGTCTCTCCATCCCCAAGAAGAGAGCTGACTCCACTTGCCCTTAGAGTGCTGCTTCACACCTCACAGAGAGAAGGAGGTGGAGTGATGCCTGCCCTTCGCATCCCTCAAATGAATTTTACCACAAGTGCCTGGGTGCAGGGTCCTCCTTGGCTGACAGGAAAAGCTAGGAACCTATGCTGAAGCTTCCCCTGGCATATCAATCCCCCACCATCTTGCCTCAGAATGAGGAATGGGACTTGAATTCAGCATCCAAGGCAGATGTTCCAGGCATTAAGAGCAGAGAAAGAACCAGCAGGCTGATTTCAAAGGGAGTGTGAGAGGGTACCGTCAGAGGCTTAGATGAGAAAGGAGACCCTTGGAAGAATGGAAGGGGTCCCCACTCTGGCTTGAGGTCAGAAAGGGCTCTCTGGGCAGGGTGCCTAACCCTCCCACACCTTCCTTCTTTCTCAGAAGAGCCACATGGGGCGGGGATGGAGGAGCTGGGGCAGGGTGGGGGCCTTTTTAAGGAGCTCCTTCCCAGAGCATGACTGCAGATCCAGCCCCAGAAACGCCAGAGAGGAGGCTTCATGGGTAAGTGCTGCCCTCTACTTGGGATTCAGTGGGGCTGGGGGCAGGGCTGCCAGCCTGGCTTTCCTTCTTTCTCCAGGGATAGGCTTCACCTCTGCCCTGTGAGTGAGGACAGCACTCAGCTGTCGATTTAACTCTCCAGAAAATGAAAGTGTGTTTCAGGGAAATCTTTCAGCTATCCCAAACACTTAAAGATCTTCATTCAGGTGGGAGGTTTTGTGGAAGCAGCACTTGTGAACTCCTATCTATCTTGGAGATCCCTATTGGCTCTAGAAGCCTCCCTGTTTGAAGATATACCCTTCTCAGAATACATATTCTGGCACTTTCCCCAGGCCCTCAACTCTTCAGCCAGGAGATGATATCTGGACTGGAGATGACAGGACCGAATATGTGAAACCCAGGCTCTGAGGGACAGAATCACTGCTATGGCCCTGAGCCCCCTCCCCTCATACCCTACTCCAGTTCCCAATGGAATTTGGGAACCATTGTCCATTTCTCTTGCTGTGATCTCCCATTTTCAGCTCCAAGCTCAGCACCCCTCAACCCTGAGTAGAAAGTATCTTGAGATTCCAGGTTCTACCCTGGGTCTCTACTTGCTCGTATGGGGAAAAATTCATACAAGGAAGCAAGGGAGGATAGCATGCAGGCAGAGAGAACTTTGGCCACTTGGCTCTGAGAACTGAATTCCATAGGCCATGAGCTCTAGCAAATGCCCTAAGTACTCAGTTCTGGTGCCCGGCTGTGCCACACCATCAATGCCAAGACCATGGGGGTATCTATGGCTCCAGCTCACACCATTCCAGACAAGTGCTCTTGTAGGCACCCATCCTGTCCACTGACTAAATCTTATTAACTGTGACTTGGTCTACACTTCTACTCAAAGATTCAATGACTCTCCAAGTCTTTTTACCGTTAATAGCTTGAATGGTATGACCTCCACTTAGCTTTGGAGCCTAATCTTCCATTGCTGTTGCCCTCCAATAAGACTGCTGCTTTCTGCTCCTGCCAACATGCTTTTGTTCCTGCTGGACCCTTCCTTGGTTTTTGAGACGCTTCTTTCCCATCACTATCTGTTGGAATCCTATATATATCCTTCAAATCCCCTCTTAGATGTCTTTTCAATAAGCTTCTTTCAGGTTGGGGTTGTGGCTCCATGGTAGAGTGCTTGCCTAGCATGTGTGAAGCACTGAGTTCAATTCGCACCACATGTAAATAAATGAATAAAATAAAGGTCCATCAACAACTAAATATATATATATATATATACATACACACACACACACATACATATACATACATACATACATACATATGTATATTTAAAACAAGAAGCTTCTTTCTTTCAACTCCCCAACAGAAAGCAAATTACCCACACTCCTCCCCAGTAAGGCTGGGTTCAGGAGCTCCCTACCTCATAGTATTTACCCCAGTGTTCTGCAAATAGTAGTTCCTTAATAAATGTTCTTTTGTTTTGTTGAGTGTGTCTCATGTGTGAAGAGACGATCTGACCTAGACGTTAAGACCTATCAGATACAATCTTGGTACATTCTCAATGTATAACTGGGTAAGTCGTTAATATCTATGGGCTTCAGTTTCCTCATCTGTAAGTGGAAATAATAGTTATGTGTACATCAAAGTTTTGTGAATTTTAAACTTAATGAGTTGGTAATTTCTGCATGGAACTTAAGCATAGTTGGTACATAGAAGTTCTCAGTGTGTGAGGTTATGATTCTTATTCTTTTCCCTTAAGTAGAATGAGAGCTATCCAAAGGTAAGGGCAGTTGTGGCCTGGAGTAGGGCTTGAAATTTGTCAGTCAGGTCTTCCATGCTCGGCTGAGTAAGTCTGGGTCAAGACTAGCAGGATGAGACCATCAGGATCAGCGCTTGGTAACCCAGGCTGAGATCTGGGAGCTCTGGATTCCCACCTATTATTGTATGACCATGGGTGAATCACTCCCTCACTCAGGCCCTACTTTCCTAGCATAATGTAAATTTAGAGGGTTGAAGCATATGAATAGCAAAGTGTTTTATGAGTTCTGCACTTCTAAGGGTTAAGTTCAAAGAAAAGATCAAACAAGAAAGCATTCAGGTTTCCTGCAGGCTTTACATCCACAGGGCTGGGAGTGAGGTGGGATGCTGGATTGCATGGAGGAGCAGCACCTCTTTCTAAAAGCTTGTAGTCAGGGTCCTTCCTCCCTTACCTTGGCTGGGGATAGGGGTAAATTTATGTGCAGCCAGGGGCATTTCTGAGACTAAGTAGAAGACAGGGAGGAATATCTATGAGCAATGTAGATCCTCAAAGATGGGGAGAAATGCTGGGGATATAGCTCAGTTGATAAAATGCTTGCTTTTCATGCACACCACCCTGCTTCAATCTTCAGCATCACACACACACACACACACACACACAAAAAAAAAAAAAAATGGCGGGGGGGATTGAGAACCTGCAAGTACTTGGACCCAAGAAGACAGAGAGGGA